AATGGCCAGTCTTCAAAGGACTCCAGCCTGGCCTCCTCTTCTTGGTACCTTGCTTTGCCACCTCTCAGCATCTTCTCTGGACTCTTCACCCGGATGTCGTACTTGCCAATGTTACCAACATCTTTGCCCAGAAGGAACTCGCATTCTGGTTGTAATTTCCTGTGGCTCTCTATGGGAAGTTTCCTGAGGCTAGTACCAAAGAGGATTAAGCTACAGCAAAAGCACTGAACCCCATGTCTCACGCCTGTGTAGTAAAACCCAGCAGCTGCCATCTCCTGTGGGGTCCATGATCTGAACGTGTCATAGGTCACAAAAGTCTTTAGTCGTTTGGCTTCACTGCGCATCTGTGAGTTAAAACCTTTCTTCATTTTCATCCGTGTTTTATGCTCTTCTTCTTCTTGGCTCTTTGCCAGCTGAACTGCATCCACCCCGAGAAGAGCAGACAGCTCAGGGAGAAATTCATAATCAATCTCAGAAACTCGATCCTCAGAGGCCTCCCCACACTCTGCCATTTTCTAAGGGGAAAGGAAAGCAGATAATGGTGGTAGTAATGTTTTTACATCAAAGAGCATGGATTCAGGGCCCATGGTATATCTCAGTGGGTGGACACTTGCAGCTAACCCCTGGGCCCATGTTGTGAAAGAAGAGAACTGACTCCCACAAGTTGTCCTGACTTCTACATGGACATGGTAATACACACACTCATGCCCCTGCCCCACACTACCAAGTAAATGTAACAAAAGATTTAAATACAGATCATGTATTTAATGAAGATAGAAGATATTAAAGAAATACCTAGGTTCTCAAAACAAAAGGGACGTTGTTTGGGAAATTATAAAAGATCAGTTTTTATGTGACTACTAAAGAAATACTTGCTGTGTCTACTTGTGACTCAAGCAAGTGTGCTAGGCTATGAGGATCAACAATGAGCAAGACAAATAGACCTTGTTCAATCCATAAAGGCTTGTTTGTGTTTGTTTGTTATTATGAGATAAGGACATGCTGTGTATCCCATGCTAGCCTAGAACATGTGGTCAAGGAGCATGGGAGACTCTTTGGCCTGGGACCCCATTTGGTTTGGGTTGTGCACTTTCTTTCTTATACTAACCTACATATATTGCACACACTCCTCCTTCACATCCACCCTACACTGGGCTCCTTCCATCTCTGAACCACTCCTGGCAACATTCAAGTTGAGACAGTCTCTTGTCACGTATAGCACCAATCTATTAGGAAAGAAGAATGACAGGCTGACCTAGCCTGAACAGGTTTGGGGAACATATGCAGGGAAGGCAAACTGTTTCTTCAAGTAAACACTTATGGAAAGTTGCCTATTGACCATTTTATTTTCATGTATAATTAGGCATGCATACGAAGAAAGTCAAATGCATTATGGGAAGAGGCATGCTCAGGGACTGAAGGATTGGTTAATTTCAGCCTGCCAGACAAAATACAGAACCAGTCTCCTGACTAGTAAGCGACTCCCTCCTTTTCTTTAACCCCATGACTGAAAGCGCCAGACATTAGTCAGAGTGCTTCAGGACTCTAATCGACACAACCATTTGTCAATCTTAGCAGCGTCTCCCTCTCTAAATCTGTAAGATCACTTAGCTCTGGATGTAGTTATTTTGCTTCCTTTGAAAATCTCTTTGAGCCTTCATTTTCAGTTGTTTGAATAAAACAACTGCCTGGAAACACCCAA